TGCTTCATTCCAGGGTCCAGGGTCAACGCAGCCATCTACCAGGAGATTTTGGAGCACTTCATGCTTCCTTCCGCAGACGAGCTTTATGGGGATGCCGACTTCATTTTCCAGCAGGACTTGGCACCTGCCCACACTGCCAAAAGCACCAAAACCTGGTTCAATGACTGTTGGATTACTGTGCTTGATTGGCCAGCAAACTCGCCTGACCTGAACCCCACTCTATGGGGCATTGCCAAGGGAAAGATGAGAGACATGAGACCGAACAATACAGAAGAGCTGAAGGCCGCTATTGAAGCATCCTAGTCTTACATAACACCTCAGCAGTGCCACAGGCTGATAGCTTCCATGCCATGCCGCATTGAGGCAGTAATTGCTGCAAAAGGGGCCCAAACCAAGTACTGAGTACATATGCATGCTTATACTTTTCAGAGGTCCGATATTGTTCTATGTACAATCCTTGTTTTATTGATTGCATATAATATTCTAATTTTCCGAGATTGTGGATTTGGGGTTTTCATGAGCTGTAAGCCATAATCATCACAATTATGACAAATTGCGGCTTGAACTATCTTGCTTTGCATGTAATGAGTCTATCTCATATATAAGTTTCACCTTTTAAGTTGCATTACTGAAATAAATGAACTTTGGCACGATATTTTAATTTTTCGAGTTTCACCTGTATTTAATTCCCTGTAATCAACACAGGGACAAAGGGAGTGATCTTTCTTTTCTACAAAGAAAATACCAGCTCCTGCAGGGGATGCGGAAGGCCGAATGAAGCCTTTCTCCAAGCTCTCATCGATATATTGGGCTTCAGAGAAAGGAAAGATGTGTCCAAAAGGTATTTCAGCCCATGGCAGCAGTTCAATTGGACAATCATACGGCTGATGGGATGGCAAAATGTCAGCCTGATTTTTATCATCTTCCAGGAACTCGTAGTATGCTAGAAGAACAAGTTGTGAGACAGAAGGATCAGAGTGCAGGCCAAGAACAGGCATAGGTTTAATGGACGTTAACTGGAAACAATGCTGTTGGCAGTTAGTATAAGGAATTGCACTTCTCCTGATGCCCATGTTATCTGTGGGTTGTGTGCTTGTAACCAGAGAATGCTCAGAATGACAGGGAACAGGGGAGATGGGACTATGTCCAAGCACAAATATTCTCGGTTACCAGTATCAGGTGAAGTTAGTAGAAGGCAAGTCTCTTTGAGTTATTGGTCCAGACTTAAAATGAGATCCATCAGTCAGATGGATGGACAATTGATGGATCTTAGGCTGCAGGGGGATCTGGTGCTGCTGAGCAAAGTTGGTACCCATAAAGCAGCTGCAGGCCCTGGAGTCAATGATAGCTGGAACCTGAACGTTCTTTCCGGAAGTCTGTAGTAAGAGATATAAGGTAATGTGAGCAGACTTATTTCCCACAGAGCAGTTGGAGAAATACATAGAGGAAGCAGGTTTAAACTTATCTCACAGGATAGTTTTGGAGTTAGTGACCTGCTTCCCCACAGCAAAGGCACGGGTTATTCCGGCATCTACACAGTCTTTCCTCACTAGTGAGCAGTGAACGTGAGTACCAGTAGCATTGGTTTTACATCAGAAGGCGTGGGTACGTTGGCAAGTGGAGGAGGTACAGGAGCTGATGACGCTCGTGGCAACATCCAGGTAGGTCTGGTGATACTAGATCTCTCTGCTTGCCTTTCCCGGAGTCTGCTATCAAGCTGGATAGCAAGGCTAATGAGGCCATTGAGAGAACTGGGAACCCCCACTCTAGCAAGTTCATCTTTAAGGCCTTCAGATAGGCCCAAACAGAATTGATGCCATAGGGCTGCATCATTCCAGCCAGTGTAGGAACTCCACTGAGACATAATCTTCGACAGGTCGACAACCTTGCTGGAGAGCATGTAGGGTGGATTCAGCAGTAGAAGATCACTGAGGATAATCATAGAGCTGTGCCATTGCTTCAATGACTTGATAGTGTTTAAGAATGAACTGTTCTGCTCCAGAAAGAAATGGGTCCAGGACTGTGGCTCTCTGAGAAGCAGTGAAATGGCAAATCCCACTTTAGTGGATTCAAGCGAGAAAGTCCATGGTTGCAGGGCAAAATATAATTCACAAGCATTATTAAATACTTGTGCCAATCACCTGAGAACCGTTCTGGAGTTGGTACTCAGGGTTCTGGTGGTGGTATGATCACAGGTGCAGCTGTAGTTTGTTCAGACTTGGAGGGCACAGGAGCTGCAGCAGGTAAAGAGGTTGCAGAGGAGGCGGCCATGGACTGGATTTGGCCTTCCAGCTAGAAATAACCCTCCTGCAGGTTGTTGGCTGCTTGGGTAAAGGAGGTGATTTGTTGGCAAAGTGCCTCTAGAAGCGAAACCCCCTTCTCAGTCTCCAACATCTGGCTGAGTGGTACTGTCACGTACCTGGTGAAGATAGAGCTGGAGAGGGGGCTTCTCTTGCACCTCTGGTCCAACACCCCTAGTAGTAATGACAGGGAGTGTGGGGACACAGAATGGCATGAGGGCTGGTGTAGCAGGTAATGCCAGCTCGGGTTTGCAGGAAGCAGATGACTGCAGATCACCAGGCAGGAACCAGTCATATGACATCCTCCAAGAACAGTGCCCCCTGCTGCGGCGCACACCAGGCTCTCTCTGTGATCGCTGTGTCCTTTGGACACAGCTGATCACGTCATGGTAAAGGGCCAATCACAGTGGCCCTTCACCACATGATCAGATGTGTCCGATCACAGCTGATCACGATGTAAACACCCTTGTCAGTTATCGGCAGCACTTTCCTCACGCTGTCACAGGTTTATTATTATTGATTTATACTTTCAAGGGTGAAATCTTTCGTGTTATTTCACAGGGTATTATAGTGTATAATTTTTTTTGGATACAGATTCATATTTATAAGAAAAATTAACTGTTTGCAAAATGTTATAATTGAAAATCTTTAAAAAAAAAAGTTTTTCTTAGTCTCTATCTTTTTTTGTTTGATTAGCAAAGTATAAAAACACCAGTGGTGATTAAATACCACCAAAAGAAAGCTCTATTTGTGTGAAAAAAATGATACAAATTTCATATGTGTACAATGGCAGCACAGACTTTCAGTTTATGGCTTGACGTCATCGGCATACCCTACACTTTACATCACAACACGTGACGTAGGGTACGCCGATGACGTCAAGCCGTAAACCGGAAGTCTACATGCGCCATTTTGCAAGAGGGATTACAGCATGAATTCAACTTGGAGCACTGTATAAAGGCTATTTTGGTTGTACATACTACACTATATTCAACGTTTTTTTTACACGATTGCGGAGTAGAGTGGATCAATACAAAAGTGCTGGCAAAGAATTAACAAAGAGTGGGAAGACTTTGTACCATTATACCTGCCTGTATTAAAAGGGAAAAGTTCAGTTTGACCTGTCATTATGGGGTTTATTTACTAAAGCTGGAGAGTCCAAAATCAGACTCCCTTCTGCATAGAAACCAATCAGCTTCCAGGTTTCATTGCCAAAGCTTCATTGAACAAGCTGAGGTTAGAAGCTGATTGGTTTCTATGTAGAAGGAAGTCTGATTTTGGACTCTCCAGCTTTAGTAAATAAACCCCTATGGGTCAATCTTTGAGGTGAACGCATAAGTGTGTTGGAGGTGGAAGAGCATTGAGGGGTGAAACAGGAGCACCATACACTTGTATACAGTGGTGTGACTACACCAGTCTACACGAAGTTATTGTGAAATAAAAGGGACTGTTCATAACGATTTATGTTGTATAAAGTTGCACGATCTATGTTGTAAAAATATCACAAAGCACTGTGGATGTTACAGATTATGTGTGGGTCTATATACTGTATATCCATTGGAATATATGACAAGGAAGCATATATTGGACTACTAAATATTCACAAGCACGGAGGAGTATTGTTTACTGTCACTGTTTATCAATACATATTCAGCAGGTTCAAAGGTTACAGCTGATATAGAAGCATCAGTTGAGATAGTAGCATCATCGCATTTATTTATTTGTTGTGCTGCATTTTTCACTATTTATTCATTTGTTATATGTGGGAACACGTCACATGATAGCTGCACATCTGTTAGGAGGTATCTATTGCGCTGAAGTTTTTTCTATATAAAAGGTGTGAGGTGGCAACCCTAGCCCCCAGCTGCATTACTAATCTAATCTCAGTATACCAACCAAACAGTTCTCTTCGTTCCTCCCGAGACCTACTCTCTAGCTCCCTTTTCATCTCTTCCTACGCTCGCCTCCAGAACTTTTCCTGAGCCTCTCTCATCCTCTGGAACGCTTTACCCCAATCTGTCCGACTATATCCTACTTTGTCCACTTATAGACAATCCCTGAAAAGCCTTCTCTTCAGAGAGGCCTACCCTACCCCCGCCTAATAACTGTACTATTATTAATTTATTTCAGGTACATATATATATATATATATATAAAACATTCACATTAGTCCCTAACCCTCAAGGGGCATACAATAACTTTTGTCTTCTGACCCTCCCTCTTAGAAGGCACAGGGCCCTCTGATTCCTACTATATTAAATTGCTAATTGTCCCATTGTCCCTTTTGTTTGTAAAGCACAACATACTATTGGTGCTACATAGATCCTGTATAATAATAATGAATTTTAGAGGCTCCTATCTAGATTTTCTCTTCAGTCACATCAATACAATAGAGCTTATGTGGCATTTAAAGACTGGCTCTTCACTTCCTATAACCGCACCACCATAGTCATCCTCCCCCACGTGCACACTCCTTTTCACATCTTTGCAATGGCGGCCCTGAGCAGCTAAACCTACAGACCAATCAAAAGAGGCACCACCCCACGTCGTCAAAGGTTAGGTCCTATGACCGGAAGTTCCTTTGCAGGCTGGTGACGTACGAATCAGCGTTTGCATTTTCTTGCGCGCTAAAAAAAAAAGAAAAAAGCGGCTCCCAACGTGCAGCGAGTTCATTGTCGGAGAGGAGCGGAGAGCGGCGGAATGGACACGTCTCAGCTGTGTAAGCTGTTCATAGGAGGCCTCAACGTCCAGACTACGGAGGCCGGCCTCAGGAGTCACTTCGAGGGCTACGGCACCCTGACGGACTGTGTGGTGGTGGTGAACCCGCTGACCAAGCGCTCCCGCTGTTTCGGCTTCGTCACCTATTCCTCCGCTGAGGAAGCCGACGCCGCTGTGGCCGCCTCCCCTCACGTGCTGGATGGCACCAACGTGGAGCTGAAGAGAGCCGTGTCCCGGGAGGACTCGTCCAAGCCCGGCGCCCACGCCAAAGTCAACAAGCTGTTCGTGGGGGGGCTGAAGACGGACATCGAGGAGGCCCACCTCAGAGAGCACTTCTCCCAGTTCGGCCCGGTGGAAATGGTGGAGATCATCGCCGACAAAGAGTCCGGCAAGAAGCGCGGCTTCGGCTTCGTCCACTTCACCAACCACGACGCTGCGGACAAGGCGGCCGTGGTGAAGTTCCATCACATCAATGGGCACCGCGTGGAGGTGAAGAAGGCCGTGCCCCGGGATGCCATGCAGAACAACCCCGGAGCCAAGTCTTATCGGGGCGGAGGACGGGGCAGAGGAGGCGGCGGCTCTGCCAACGGCTTCTCCGGGGGGAGGGAAAGCTATGGAGGCGGCTACGAGGGCGGCTATGGCGGCGGAGGCGGCTACAGCTCCTATGCAGGCTACGGCGAGCAGGGCGGCTACGGCAACGGCTACAATGGCTTCGGGAACTATTCTCAGCACATGTCTGCCTATGGGCCCATGAAAGGCTCGGGAACCAGCGGCTGGGGGCGCAATAGCAGCTCGGGCCCTTACCATGGAGCCGGGGCCTACGGAGGGGGCGGATCTTACGGCTCTTTCTGAACTGCTGTGGACTCATCTATCCCCCGATCACTGAGCCATGGACGATTTCTCAGCTTTTGTTACCTACCATAAGACCTGGCTGTTCTCTTCTCACTCGTCTGGATCGCTGTTCGGCCGGGCCTGTTTTTTTTTTCAGTGTCTTCTCATCCTGACCCCTAGTCATTCTATTGCCATCTGATCATTGCTAAGCCACCTCTTGGACATGGACTTTGCTGAGGAGTCACAATTTATTTTCCTTTTTTTTTTTTTTTTTTTGTTCATGACTTCACTGAATGTCCTATCCGTCTGGATTGTTTCCCTTCAAGCATCCGGTTATCTGAAAATACAAGATTTATGTTTTTTTTCTATAACATATAATGTTCATTTAACTGCGTAGGATTTGTGCATTTGGTTTGACCTTATTTTTAATAAAAACCAAAATGTTTTAAGATTACACTTACAGGTCTTCTAAAATTATTGTTCTACAATGCAGGCCTTAATGCTGCAAAAGTGTTATATAAACACATGGAATGTTTTGTGTAACCCCTTCCTGGTCCTTTAAGAGTATCTAAATGCCAGGATGCGGGCATTCAGATCATGTGATTAGCGGCCATGTGGTCAGAATGCTCCTGATCATAACTATGCATGGGGAGCTTTCTGGTACTAGTTAATGTGGGAACATACTCTCAGCACAGTAAAATGTTTACCTAGGGCTGCATACATGTGCCAGATCTGTGGGAAATGGTTAAGAGGTCTCTGCCTGGTACAGCTATGAGTCCTTGTTTTTTTTTTTTTTTGTTTTGTTTTTTTTTATAGATAGATCGCTTAAAGTGGATCTATGGGAAACTTTTTTTTTTTTTTTGTTTGTTTAATTTTGGATAGAGCAAGGGAGGGTTATAACCCCTGTCCGTTTTTGTGTTTTTTTTTTTTTTTTTTTTTTCCCCTCCATTTTCTCCATCTGTGTACCATTGCAGAGATTCCCCATTGCCAAACAGGAAGTGAGAATATTCCCTGCAAATTAAGGTAATTTCTTGGGGACCCCCAGGTTACAAGAACTAGTGTCCCCATTGGAAGATTTAGTCTCCTATTACTTTTCTAGGGACAACTGAAAATATGGGTTTTTTTACTTTCACTGATGGTAAACAGGACAAATGGTGAATCTCCCCAAAGGGGCACATACATTGTTTAAAAACTGACAAGTGTTCTAATGCCTCTGCACTCTTATATAAAAAAAAAAAAAAATTGTTATACTTAAAGCCCTTTAAGAGTTTGCCCCTTTATGACCAGGACAATTTTTGCTTTTCCACACCATGCTACTTTAACTGGAAATTGTGCAGTTATGCAATACTGTACGAAAAGCTGATGTCAAATAGATTGGACCAAGCTGGTCCAAATGAACTATTTCCTGCTCCTAAGTGCTGTACTGGCTCTAGGCACTATACTTGGATTCCACTACATACAGTAAGTACTTCTGGGTTCCAGCTGTGAGAAACTTCCTGTTTCACACCCGGAACAAAGCAAAGTTGGTTTCAGCAGCACTCTGCTCTTCATAGGTAGGCAATGAATACAAAGATTCATCTTACAGGCTGAGAGCATGACACCATCAGACTGCCTCAAGCAATCAGGGGAAGCTTTGTATTCACAGAATACAAAGCTGCCTATGAATGCTGAGCACTGATGCTTTGTTCCGGAAACAGGAAGTCTGCCTCACAACCAGAACCCAGCACTATGTACTGTATATACCAGAAGCTACATTCCGTTCGTATAGTGCTTAGAGCCAGTGCAGCTTTAAATATATTACTGAAAAAAGGTATTTAAGCCGTATTAAACAGAAAAGCAAATGAAGCTTACCAGTTCTTGGAGGCTAAGGCTGTATTAATTTTTTTTCCTTTATTTTTATCTGGTGATCTGGATCTGATCTGTAAGTCATATTTTTCAAAATAAACTGTCCTGAAAATGTAGTTAGGGTTGAGACAAACTATTTACCACTGATGGGGGCGATTAGCTTTTGTGTAAGGAAAAAAAACTGCACAGCTTATAAAGTATTACTTGGAGTTTGGCCTAAATTTTTGACACTAGTTAAATCTGCTAGTGATCTAACATTCCCTTCCCCTCCACACTGACTTTTGCTGTCCAAAGGTGTCTGTTGTTCCTGCTAGAGTAGGTGCACTCTAGTACAAAAGGGAGTTACTGGCCAGATCAGCAGGTGAAAAAGGGGGGTCTAAAAGGAAAAAATAAAATTTACCTCATCTGATTGGTAAGCTGCAAAATATTTTTGATTTTAATACTATAAAGATGAACATATGCCTTGATTATATGGTTCCCTTTTTCAGAACTCGTGGGTCACTTGCTGTTTTCCCTCTTTATGGATATGTTAAAATTTAGTCCAGAGTTGAGTAAGTAAACTGTGTATCTGGAGGAATGAAACTCCAGTGGGTGGTTGCAACAGGGAGAAAGGGTGGATTTTGCTATAGTGGGTCAGAGAGATGGTAAAATGCAGTTCTCTACCAAGATCTTATTCCTTTTCTGCCAATCCTGGCATCCATTTAAACAGTTTAGCATGCCTGAGGGGTAGGAAGGATTAGTGACCACTGCCATGGTGGTCACATTATTGTAAGCCAGTCCCGCTGGCTACCAATCTAGCCTGGACCAAGAGTTGTTTGCTGATAGTGTGCCCCCAGCACATAAATGACCATCCAGCAACATATGTGAAGTGTGTGGGTTTTAAAGCCCCCCTTTTGCTGCTACACGTATGTGTTTGAGTGTAATGGGGTTGAACACACATTTTGGGAGCTGAATGCATCACAAACCTTTGATAACTCAGAGGGAGTGTGTTCTATAAATGTTCAGGTGGAAGTTATCTTCAGTTAAAGCTGAAGTTTCCTGGTTGCAGCAAAGAAAATTGCTCCATCTATGGGCAGCTTAACCCGTGCACCCGCTGGGTGTGCTGTGCAAAATGTATTTAACCTCAGTTAGATACAGTATACGGGACTTGTGTTCTGGCTGTGGGACACAAACAGCCTGTTACACACCTCAAACAAAATTGGCGCTCATACATTCATAGGCAGCTTTGTATTGTCTGAATAGAAAGCTTCTTCTGAATGGCTTAGTTGAAACTTGTGATGTAATTTGCCAGCCAATCAGAGGAATCTTTGTATCCATTGAGAATGCAAAGCTGCCTATGAATGGCTGAGTGCCGCTCAGCCTGACTCAGTTTTGTTCTGGATGTGGAATGAGATGTTCTCTTCCCACAGTCAGAACACAAGGCTCTATATTGTGTATATAGCTTTGGAAACATGGGCACACCTGTTGGTGTAGGAGATAGTTTGTTTTGACCAGCTTCTTCACCCAAACTAACAATTTAAAGTGACATAAAGCTGAAAATCGTCTTAATACAGTTCAGCTTTTTTTAAAAAAAAAAAAAAGTCCCATGCCAGTATTTTGCAGCAAAGGACCTTTGTTTGCTCTGTGGAAACATTGATCACTCTGCAGAGGACAGACATGCTCAGCAGAGCACAGGAGCTTTGCTGACTGAAGAACTATGAGGGTTTGTTCACACCAGAATGTGCAAAAATGCATGCGTGTTTCAGTGCATTTTTATACATGTTTTTTTCTATTGCCTGTGTCATCACTTTAACCACTTGCCCACCTGAGAATTTATCCCCCTTCCTGACCTGGCCATTTTTTGCGTTATGGTGCTGCGTTCTTTAGACAGTTGCATGGTCTTGCAACACTGCACCCAAATGAAATTTACATTCTTTTCCCCCACAAATTGAGCTTTCTTTCGGTTGGTATTTGATCGTCTGTGTTCTTTTTAATTTTTGCGCTATAAAAAACAAAAGCCTGACAATTTTGAGAAAAAAAACAATATTTTTGACTGCTATTAAACGTCCCATAAAAAAATTTAAATCAAATTTTGCTGTAAATTTACACCAAAATGTATTCTGCGACATGTCTTTGCTAAAAAAGTTAAAGTTATAGCGTTTACAATCGGCGGTAGATATACTGGGATTTTTTATTTTTGCTAGTAATGGCGGCGATCAGCGGCTTATTGCAGGACTGCGTAAGACATTCTGATACTGAGTGACTTGGTGTCACTAACATCCTCTGTGACACCAATACAGTGATCAGTGCTAACAAAAAAAAGCACTGACACTAATGGCAGTGGGCAGGAAGGGGTTAACATCAGGGGTGATCAAACAAAGGGTTAACTGTGTGGGGGGGCGATTCGGGGTGTGATTTACTAGGGGGCGGTGTGTGTTTCACTGTAATCGCACTGTTCTGAATGGCTGTGCTGTGCACAGCCATCCTAACCAGTGTGCTCAAGCAGACCGGGAGGAGAACTTTTAGTAAACAAAACAGTCTTCTTCCGTCGGTGATTGTCGGAAATCACCAGGTGTGGGTGAGTAATTACCGGCCGGGACCAGGTGATTGACAGCATGCGTCCCCTACCCAGAAATGCAAAATCACGTATATATTCGTGATTTTGCACACCCGTGCTGCCCTGTAGCAGTATTTTTGCTATAGGGCGTTGGGGATGCGGGTTACTTGCGTTGCATTTATAAATGTGTATGCATTTTACATTTGTTCCCGTGGTGCGGAAAAATGCAGATGTATATGTCTGGTCCATTTGATATCACTTTCATTATAGATACACAAAACAATTGTCTTCCGTTTGCCATTGCAAAGACCTGCATTTCTTTGGTGCAGAAAAACACAGGTCTCTGTACACATTAGAAACCAGCCCTGACTTGTTGGAGGGGGGGAAGTGTAGCAGACCATTGCAGAGAGCAAGGGTCCTTTCCTACAGCAGCTGTGGCCAGGCTTTTCTATGTAGGCCTTGGCAATTGTCTTGAGCCCTTATTCACACTAGAGCATTTTGAATCATGTTTACTGTGAACTGTGTGTTCAGATGCCATTCATTTTAATGGCACCTAAAAACTTGGGGCAGTTCGGCTGCGATTGTCAGGCAATAAATCACGTAGCAGCTGCGGTAAACTTCATTGCGCAACAAATGTCAC